CGTAAAAGAGTGGTGAAATTATTTATCAGACCTCAAGGATGGGTGGGATTAATAAAAGAAAAGAAGAAGATGATTCTCACCAACACAATTAAATAGACAAATGTTATCTGTGAGGAAGGATATTGATAACTTGAAAAACTGCCAGATCCTCAATGACCAAATCTGGAATGAGGAACCACTTCTTAATTTTGAGCTTGCAGACAACCCATAGAAATTCCCTGCCAGGGGCAGTGTTGAAACGTATCATGCACTCTCACCCCACTGTAGGTTAATACAGCACATAAACCAACTGTTACCAATGTATCACATCTAGAAACCTTCATTCCCTTAAGGTGAGATAGCAGTGAGTCACCGGGTACTCTGCACTGGGCTTCAGGAGCCAGTGTTCTAGTGAAAGGATACTCAACCCAGGTTGTCATGGCAAACTCCAAGCAAGTTCCAGGCTTTTAGTGCAGCTTAGGTTAATAAAAATAAATGTGATTTATATATAAGGGCCACAGGGAAAAAGAAGAATTTTTGTTCCTAAACACAAATTTTAGGAGCTTCAATTGCATCCACCTAGGGAATTCTATCTTACATTAAGTAATTTATTATGTAATAGAAAAATTTTACCTAGGTGTGTAGTTTTGGGGGTTTTTTGTTGTTTTTTGTTTTTGTTTGCTAATACAAATGTCACTGAGCTTTTTCTTTTTAAAGATTTTTTTATCTCAAAAATCCAAAGTAAATAAAAACTGCACATGATTTGAAAGTGACCTGCAATCCTATATTTACAGCAGCACAATCTATAATAACGAACAGATAAAAACAATATAAATGCCCAATGAAAGAAGAGTAGATAAAAAGGAAAAAACTGTGGTACACCTACTCCATGTAATATTACTCAGCCACAAAAAAGAATGGCGTTCTATCATCTGCAACTAAATGGTCCCAATTAAGAGACCATTATGCTCAGTGAAACAAGTGGATTCCAAAAGGACAAATATCATATGTTCTCTCTGATATAAGGCAAACATCATGCAAAATACAAGGTCAACAGATATACAGTTAACATAGATATACATATAGTCATCTAGAGGAACTGTGTAATAGAGACTAGCATATCAAGATGTGAAGCTACAATGCAGAATGCACCTCTACATACAAATCAAAGATAGATTCCCAGTGAAACTGTTAAGCATATCCTGACAATAGGATGTTGGACTCTCTGACATTGTCCATACATACATACAATATTGGGATACACTTAAATAGCAGAATGATGGACATATGACTTCTTGAAGGACTATACTATTGTAATATAAGGGGAATTGGTGAAAAGAGGGGATTTGAGGAAGGTGGAAGGGAAATCCCTCTTCCTATGGCATTATATCATCAAAGAAATAAATATATAAGTAAACAGGAAAAAACATTTATTTATTTATTCATTTGAAAGGCAGAATTACAGAGAAAGAGGGAGAAACAGAGAGACCAGAGAGAGATCTTTACAAATGGCTGTAATGGCAGGGACTGAGCCAGGCCTAAGCTAGGAGCTTGAACTACATCTGGGTCTCCCGTGTTGGTGGCAAGCATCTAAGTATCTGGATCATCCTCTGCTGCTTTCCCAGGCACATCAGCAGGACTCTGTATTGGAAATGAAACAGCCAGGATCCAAACCAGTACTAATATAGGATACCACCATTGCAGGCAGTGGCTTTATTAGCTGTGCAACAACATGGGTTTCTCATTGAATTTTCTTTGTGCTAGAATGTAGCACAAAGACTTTCACTGGATTAAGAGAGAAAAAAAAAAGATCCTACTTGGATAGTTGATATCACCAGGGCTGAAATTAATTGCAGTAATAATAACCATGTTAGAATCTCAGCACTGACCACACACTGTGTCAGGCCCTCTTTATACATTAACCATATTGCAACAGTACTATAAGACAAGGATTATCAAACCCACCTCACATAAACAGAGTGTCAGGCTCGCAGAACCCCTTAACATACCAGAGTTCATATAGGTGGTAAAGGATAGGGGTAGGACCAGATTCTCAGTCTGGATTAATCTAAATCCCACACTGTCCCAATACATCCAGTCTGAGGTTGACTGTGTTTCTTTAAAGTCAACTTTTTTTTTTCTTCTTGAAAATTCATTTAAGACAATAAAAATGAGGGCTCAGTGCTCATACATAGTGGGTGATAATACATTCCCATTATAATATGAACATCCAAATAAAAAACGATAATGTTGGTGACGATAGGATCATTTACAATGCACTGTCAAGTAATCTAAAAAAAATCAGGGTTTCCTAAAATCATCCTGGATAGCCCCTTCCCTGTACAAAATGTACCTATCAAAGCAGAATTTACATGAAACTTTCAAGCTGGTAAGAAGGAATAGATCAGCATGTTGTTTTTTGGGGGGGTATTTGTTTTTCTCTTACATCTCACCATGTGCTCTGGGGTTCATGCCTCGTATGTTACTTTTTCCATCTTTTATCACTTCTGGGACAGGACACACACACCCCTTTTCTGGAAGGTTTGTAGAAGAAAAACTAATTACATTTACAGAAATATGCAATTTCCCTGGAAGCCTTGAATGCATGAAGAGCCAAAAAGACCCCAAGGTCATAATACTTGGCACAATATCATCCAAGAATATAGAAGGTCATGCATAGGCCAGTTTCCATTTGCTATTAGAACTATAGGCTCCAGATACAGCTGCCAGACTGGACATCTCCTTACTTCATCTTTAGGCTGCTCAGGGACTTAAGATTCTTATTCTAAGAAAGACAACCTCAGATCAATAGATATGGAGGTGAGAATCAAAAATGAGGGCAACTTAAGAACTCACCTGTAACAGCATGTTCCCAAAACTCCTTGAAGAACTGGTTATCTCTTCAAGGTCCAGAATAGACCTGACCTGAAAGTAGCTCACTGGGACTTTAAATTCAATGGCCCCCAGCAGAAGAGTGCCTCGGCCTGATGGGAGGAGCTTAAGGTCAGCAGAGTGGAGAATTCAAAATTGATCAAGAGTCAAGATGAAGAAGATGAGAGAACCACCCATCACTGAACACAGAAGCCACATACACTTCCTAATTGTTATTAGCTCTTGGTGGTCCAGACAGCTTTGTGAGTTGAAAGAGCTTTGTTAATTTGCCTGGAGTGTGTCACAGAGGTCAAATGTTGTACTAGTAGGCAGGGCCCAGTGTCTGCTGGGAGGTAAAACCGACTGGAAGGATTCTAAGTACAATGAGGGGGTATCAGCCACTCCACCAGCAAAGCAGATAAATTGAGTTTTATGCTGTTTTTAACTCTGGGAGGTCTCAAAAGAATTACCACTAAAGGAAGCCTTTCATTGTACATGTGTGTTACCAGGAGACAAAAGCCCTTGGTTTGAAGATGGTAGCCCCAGTTACGGAAGGAGAGCTGTCCTGGCTTGAGCCAGATGCCAGGGGATACATCCTGATTACTGAGAGCAGCTCTTTCTGCAAAAGCAGCAGGCTCGAAGTTTCCGTCCGTACTGTGAAGGTGGGAGGCTTAGACCATAGAGTTCAACTCTTTGGTTTCAGGGAGGGCGGGGGAGGTTTTGTGTGGAATCTGGCGGACTAAAGTCCCCATAGAAAAGCTACAGACCGCACTAGAACTGGAAGTTACATACCGGAAGACGGGAGTCCCCGACTTCTATTCCCCCCACGCCCAACCCCCATCCCCACACCCCTCCCCCCATTTGTCCGGAAGTCCTGGCAGCCATAGCCGGATGTAGGTTAGTCTTGCTTCCGCTTTGCAAAACCTCTCGAACCGGCGGTCTAGCGCAGCTCGGCATTCGGGAGGTAACACAGAAATTTTGCAGAGAGTGAATTTTGAGTGGTTTAGACTCAAGGTAAGAATTCTCTATGTGGAGTTAGGAGACCGTTTCTCCTTTCAGGCTGCAGTGTAGCCCTGAGAAACCCTGGAAGGCTGTGGAAGATTTGGAAGGTTCTCAGCCTAAGTTCCACCGAGAAAGTTTGGTGGCTGAGGGGAGGGGGCATTGGTCTTACAGGGGATTGCTAATTCAGGGAATGTTGAAGACCAGCCCTAATAAACCTTAGAAGACCCTGGAAGTTCACTCACTGACCCTAGTTTGACCCAGAGGTCTGGTGGGTGGGGGAGGGGCGCATTGGTCTTGGCGGGTAACGCGGAGTCTGTGAATGCCAGAGGCCTAAACTGTAACTAAATGAAGTGAGTCCTTTAAAATACTCTTGTTGGGGACGTCTCCGTCCCAGGGTGGACGGGGAGGTAAGCCAGCTGCGCAGCGGTGTGACTTCTTCCACTCCGAGCGCCACCGAAGCCGAGCGTGCCCTGCCACCCGCCTCGCGGGCCGGCTGAGCCGCGTTGTCTGACAGAAAACGTGCAGGACATTTTTCCTCCGACTAGAGCGTAGGGAAGGACTTTGCGGTTTCACGAACCCCCTTCACATTTTTCTTTCAGACTGAAAGGAGTTGGCGCTCCTCGTCGGAAAGTGTGGCCACCACGAAACAGAAGGGCAGTCAGGACAAGTGAAGGTAAGAACCCCAGCCCCGTGAGCCCAGGGTGACAAGCACCATGGTGAACTGTTAGAACTAGCTGTCCTCTGCTGGGGAGTTAGGCCAAGACACCTTTTCAGTTTCTTTTCGGGGCTCTGCAGCAGTTTTACAGTGGAAAGGTCGGCAGTAATCGAGGTGGCAGTGCTGCAGGCGCTGCTAAGAGGTGCCATGATAATTCTGGCAGGAGACTGAGAAAATCCCAAACAAAAAGAGAAGCCTGCCAGTATGCATGGTCGCTGCAGTTAAGCGAAGCAGGCCTGATGGACACAGCCAGGGCTCCTGGTGGTGTCCAGGGCACAGGAGCCGTGGGCATTCCTATAGCAGTGCCTTCACAGACAGGCTGAGAGGGCTTGCTGGAAGCCGAGGGGCTCTCTTCTTGCCCAAGGTGCTCACACACACTCCTTCTCTTCCCTGCAGGTGTGCATCCTGCTCCGCGTCCCTGCCTGCAAGCATCATGCCTCGGGGCCAGAAGAGCAAGCACCGCGCCCGAGAGAGACGAGAGAGACGCCACCAGGCCCAAAGCGAAGCCCAGCAGCTTAAGCAACCGGAGGCCACCACCGCAGCAGAGGCATCAGAACCCTCGACTTCCTCTGCAGCAGTCGGGGGTGCTTCCCCCAGCTCCTCTACTTCTGGTTTACCCCAGGAGCCTCAAAGGGCCCGATCCTACACCACTCGGGGTGGGGCCCATGGCTCTGGCAAAAGATCTGGTAAAGGTGCCCAGAGGCAGGGGAACAAAAGGCAGAATTCCCCGGGGGTTGCTGGAGCCCCTGAGAGTGCAAGGAGCACAAGCAGAGATCCTGTAAGCAGGAAGGCAGGAATGCTGATGCAGTTCCTACTGTTCAAGAATAAGATGCAACAGCCCATTAAGAGGGTAGACATGCTAAAGCTTGTCACCAGAAGGTTCAGGCAGCAATTCTCAGATATCCTCAAGATAGCCTCTGAGCGTCTAGAGCTGGTCTTTGGCCTGGAGTTAAAGGAAGTAAAACCCAGGGGTCAAATCTATACCCTTGTTGCCAAGCTAGAGGACACCAGTGAAGGAGGCCAAGATAGTGTCCGGGGTTTCCCCAGGAATGGGCTGCTGATGCCCCTCCTGGGTGTGATTTTCTTAAATGGCAACTCTGCCACTGAGGAAGAGATCTGGCAATTCCTGAATGTTTTGGGGGTATATGATGGGAAGAGTCATGAAATCTTTGGGGAGCCCCGAAAGCTCATCACTGAAGATCTGGTGAATGAAAACTACCTGGAGTACCAACAGGTGCCCAACAGTGATCCTCCTTGCTACCAATTCCGGTGGGGTCCTAGAGCTTTCGCTGAAACTAGCAAGATGAAAGTCTTGCAGTTTTTGGCCAAGGTCAATAATACTGAGCTCACAGCCTTCCCAACCCTTTACGAAGAGGCTGTGAGAGAGGAGGAGGAGAAAGCCCAAGTCCAGGCCGCATCTGGCACTGCAACAAAGGCATGTCGGGGCCCTAAGGCCAAGGGGGGCAGCCGTTCTCAGCAGCAGTGAAGGCTGAGAGGTGCTTTGTGCGTGTAAACAACTATGCTAACCTTTACGCTTGCTACACATTGAATAATTTTTGGCTAAACTTTTCTTGTGTGTATTTTTGAACTAATATTCAACAGAAGATTTATTTAGATTCAGAAGATAAGTTTAGGAATGACATAGGTAGTACATGTATTGCTGTTTATTAGATTTTGTACTAAAAGCTTTGTTTTTTGAAATACAAATTACAAATCTGTAAATCACCTTGTTGAGCCATAAAAAGATACCATGGGATGAGAAATAGCCTTGGGAATATACAAGATTCACCAGTAAAATGTTTGAGGTGCAAAGATAGAGAATAAAGTGGAGAGTTATGAGTTTGAGTTTCTTGTTTATTTTATTTTGGTCTTTTCATAAGTTTAAGATACCTGCTTGAATTATATTATTGTATTCAAGAATGTGTGAGAAATTAAATCATAAATGAAGTTTCTGGTTCTATCTGTTCAAGCTCTTTACTGGAGATGTTTAGTCAAAGCATTGCATTTTGCTCATGCAATCACAGAACCTGGGGAAGGCTAGCATTACTGGAGAGGGTGAGATACTCTGCTTCATAAAGAAGTAGAAGGAATTCAAAGTGAAAGGAAGGACATTTTTTTCCACCACTAAGCAGCATTTTGGCTGAATATGGCTTTAAAAAATAAGTGAAGAATGTCACTTCAGATTGATACATAAATACTGTACATATTCCTGGGGCACCATATGATCTGATGTATGTATATATCAGTGAAATGTTCAAATCACAAACACTTCTCAAACATCATTTCTTTGTGATGGGAATAAGTAAAATTTCTACATCCTAGCTTTTTTCCCTTGTTTTAAAAGATTTATTTATTTATTTATTTGAAAGGTAGAGTAATGGAGAAATGGGTCTTTCATCTGCTGGTTTATTCCCAAAATGACTTTAATGGCTGGGGCTGCACAGGCACAAAACAGGAACTAGGAATGCCACCCTGGTTTTCCACATGGCTGTTAGGGGCCGAAGCACTTGGGCTATCCTCTGCTGTCTCCCAGGTAAATTAGCAAGAAGCTGGATCACTAGTGGAACTGCCAGGACTAGAAGCAGGACTCCCATAATATGAGATGCCAGTGTCAAGCAGAAGCTTAACTTGCTACACCACAATGGTGGCACCCAAGTTTTCTTTTTGTAAAGAAATACGACGTACCTTAACTTTATGTATAGTTAGCTTACTATATAGTAGAGTACCAGAATTTTTCTGCCTCTCCTAGGACAGGGACTTATTCTCTGAAAGCAAGAAACTGATTTATAATTTGCAGTGGTGCAGCATTTCCAGGAAACATTTGATTCAAGGAATAGAGCCATGATGAAGACCAGAGAGATTAAGATAACTATAGTGATGGCATAATAGAGACTACCATATTCAGATGTGAAGATACAATGCAATATGCATTCCTACTTACAAATCAAATATGTACTGCCAGTGAAACTGCTGGACATATCTGGACAATGGGATGCTGGATTCTGACATTGTCTGTACCAGCTATGTCAGAACACATTTAAGTAAGACTGATGGACTTATGACTCCTTATGAAGGACTATATTATTGTAATAATATGGGGAAAATCAATCGGGGGGTGGGGAATCCCAGACCCTATGAAACTGCAAAATTCAAAATAAAGAAAAGATAAAATTCAAAATAAAACAAGATAACTAGGAAGAAAAGTAGGTTGCATTGATTATCTATGGAGACCAACACACCATGGAGGACTGGAGAGATGAACACTCCAGAATGTGGGGTAATATAGATCAGCCGCATTTGGGAACATAAGCAGTCTCCAAGCTCTCAGCCCAAGAATCCCCTCACAGGCATCCTTCCGGATTTGGAGATACCATTCCTGCAGGGCCACATATGCAGATCAGGATTAGGAGAGTCCCAATCTCTCAGGAATGAAGAGGGTAAACCAGAATCATGATAGAAAGATCTAGCCCAAATCAGTGGGGTTCCAGAACTCACACCCCAGTTGTTGGCCCTGCTGGAATTTGAAACTCCACTGGCTGCATGTGGCTGCTATTAACTTCTCCATGTTCTGGCAAGCTGAGGACTTTGTCTAAAGGTCAGGGCCTCAAGTCACAAGAGAGTGAAATCCCAGGAAGGGCACACAGTCAAGGCAAAGACCTTTCATATGGACCACTTAACTCAGATGGGCTGCACCTAGTTCCTGCACTGCTGTCACCCCTGCAGCACCCAAGGAAGAACTGGAAGGTTCAGGTGCTTTTTGAATTCTCCTGGAAGATTTCAGGGTGAGGAGGGTCTTGGTTTACAGACTGACTACCCAGCTCAACAGGAAGTAAAATATGACAGATTTTAAGGTAAAATACTATATGAGGACTAAGGCAAGCAAGTTCCCCAGAAGTAAGCAGAGCAGAGGTCCCACCTCTGAAGACCTGGGCTGCCACAGGTAGGCCCACTTAGGCTGAAGTTATTCATGTGCTGAGTCGCAGCTGGTCTCAGAGAAACAAAGCACCTGGATGCACAGGGAGGCCCAGTTCAGCAGAGGGAAAGACTTGCTCCGGAACAGAAGTCAAGCAATGATAGCAACTGATAACAAAGAAACACCAACCACAAAGGAGAGGGTCACGGAGAAGTCATTCCGTACTGTCTGACCTAAGAAGCCTGGGCACAGGGACATGGAGTCCTGTGTGCTTCTTTCCAGGTCATCTCTCCGGAGTAGAGAAACCCTGGCAAACAGCACAGGTTTGGGTCAACAGAGGGAGTGTTTTCAGGTGATGCCAGGAGCAAAGCTGAGGACCTCCAAAACTTATGGAAACACCTGCTCCATAACAAAGAGAGCACAGAGTCTTTTCATTATTGTTAGGCTGGGTAAACTTCGACCACTTGTGGCCAGATGAAGTAAATTTCATTTTTTCCTGATATGTATCATGGAATTAGGGATGTTGGTAGAAATCAGCACTCAAGTGAAGACCAGAAGGATTTCTGGGGGAATGCAGGTTGAAGTGTGGGGATGGCACACCCTATTTCAGTGGGCACATCAGAGTCTGCTCCTCAATGATCCCAGGAAAATGGACAAAGCAAAAAATTACATCAATATCACTCAGCGGAACAGGTAAATAAGGAATTTCTATCATTCCTAGTGGTGGTATCACAGCAACAGAGGAAATCATCTCGAATTATGTTAGCATTACAAGTTGGGATCCTGCACCCCGGAACGTGCATGCCACACCTGACATTTTTGTGAGGCAATCAGCAGGTATAAGACCACAAAATGCATCTTCTCTTCCTTCTGTTGGCGCTTAGAGTTGTGGGTCACACGAGGAGGAGAGTTCATTACCTCCGAAGCTTTGTAGAAGCAGACCCTACAAGATGTCAAAATCAGGGTACTGAAGAGGGGACTAGGTTATGTATATACCCTCGAAGATACAATTATCACTGCCTGCCCTTTAATTTCAGCAATAGAAATCGCAGAGAGGTTTTTTTTTAAAAGATTTATTTCTTTTTATTGCAAAGGCAAACTTACAAGGAGAAGGAGAGACAGACAAAGATTTTCTAACCTCAAATGACTGCAATCTACAGAGCTGAGCCATTCCAAAGCCAGGAGCCAAGAGCTTGCTCCCGGTCTCCCACGCGGGGGTGCAGGGTCCCAAGGCTTTTGGCCGTCCTCAACTGCTTTTCTAGGCTACAAGCAGGGAGCTGGATGGGAAGTGGAGCAGTAGGGACATGAACTGGCACCCATATGGAATCCTGGCACGGCGAGGATTTAGTCATTGAGCCATTGCGCCAGGCCCTCAATTTTCTTTTAACTTGAAGTACGTGTTGTTATTTGTGAGGGGGAGGGCAGGAAGGAGGAAGCAAGAGGGGGCACTCCAATTCATAGGTTCATTGCACAACTGCCAGAATCTAAGAACTCAATTCAAATACTCCATTTCTGAAGCAGAAAGCCCACTACCTGAGGTATCACTTATTGCATCCTAGAATCTGAATCAATAGAAAGCTCAAATTCAGGTACAGAAGTCGTGGACCATGCTAGACCCCCACCCCTTCCGTTACTTCTTAATATCCTGTTATACAAAAAGAGACCTTGTGGTCAAACTACTGCGTTTGGGATTACAAAGCCAGAGTAATTAGAGTATCAAAACAAATCTAACATTTGAATTTAAAAAGGATATATTTGCTGTTCAGACAAGAGACTGATTTATCCAACTCGCTAATTCCACGTATTTACTTACTTTTTGTGTCATGTGAAGAGCGGAGCGCAGAGGATACGACCCGATGTGAAGTGATGTGCAAAACACAGGAAAACTGCACTGAGTGAGGGATAGAAGAGACGTGAAGGTTACGTGTGGGTTGAGAGAGATGTAATCCGATATTCAGGACACAGGAGAAGTGACGTAAGATTACGCATTGTGACGCAACGTGTGGGCAGACGCGACGTGTGCGTAGACGCAATGTGTGGGCAGACGTGATGTGAGGGGCAGGCGCGACGTGACGCAATGTGTGGGCAGACGCAACATGTGGGCAGACGCAACATGTGGGCAGACGCGACGTGATGCAACGTGACCCGACGTGGGGACATACGCGATATGACACCACGTGACAAGAGGCAGAAACGACTAGAAGAGATTCGCTGAGGAGAGCAGCCGGCGTTGTTGTTTCCTCGTAAAAAGTGAGTAAATTAGAATGGAGGTTACTTAAGATCCTAAGTCTAGTGGGTAAAATGAAAAAAAAAGAAAAGGATTACTACATTAAAAAATATATCTATCGGCTATCGCTAAGCTAGCGTGTGTACGCCGCTTGTGCTTTTCGCTTCTCCTGGAGACCGCTTCTCTGAAAGATAAACAGAAGGAAAACTGGTCAGGCATTGGTGGGGCTGTCTCATCTTTCAATAGGTTTTTAAAGAATGACTCATTTTGTATATACTATTTTTAATCGTTTTTTGCTATAGAAAAAAGATTTTGTGTAGTTCATAGATAAAATGCTCAAACTGCA